GTGGTGGGAGCCACTACCCCTCTCTGCACCCCCCGAACGAACCGTGGCTCTGTCCCATGCCCCACCCTGACTGTGCAGGACCTGGCAGGGTGGGTGTGGGGTCCCGGGGGCTTCGTCTCCTCCAGCCTGGTGGTTCAGCCAAAGCTGGCCCTGCTCCGGCCCCTGGCTGGGGTCCCCAGGCAGTTTGGGGCCGGTGCCAGGGTGGGGAGGCAACCAGGGCTGGGGTGGGGCTGGGGGCGATAGATTTCTTGGTGCGGGGGGTGCTGGGCAACGACCCTGGGCATGGGGCCTGGCTTGGCTTCTTCCCTATCCCTGCCGGGTCCCAGGCCCAGCCCCCACCCCCTCCACCCTGCGCCCTCCCTTTTCCCACCCCTGCAGCTGGCTGGGCAGTGGGGGAGGGGGGAGGTGCTGATTTCAGCCCCCCGCCACCCGACCAGAAGGGGGTACAGTCCAGAAGGGGTACACTCCTTAAAAAAGGCTGAAAACCCCTACTCTAACTGATCTGCTCTTTTTGTGTCTGCACTAACTGAAAACACTGCAACTTTGAATGTGTTTCATTTGATACTCCATATAGAGGTCCCCCAGGTTTTGGGCACAAGACAAAATAGTTACACTGTTTCACATGACTCCGGCTTGTGAGTGGTAGGTCTCTCCTCTACAATTTAAAAATGGTTTAGTGTTGCCTGTCCACAGTCTGACCATTTCAGTGGGCATTAAGACATAAAGGGGAAACTGGCATGAATTTTCCACAGGTAACTTCCCTATAAGTGTATGAGATTTAACAACTAGATTGTTTTTTCTCTCCTACTGTCTCCAGGCAGTGCAAGTAACCGATCCAGTACTCGAAGCGTCATGAGTGGCAGTAGTGGAATGGAAGGGGACAGCGAGGGGTGCTTTCAGCTCTGTTGTACACTGTCTGTTTGCCTTCAGTGTGCATTTGGGTCTGATCTTGTATTGCACTATTTAAAAAAAAAAAATCTACCAACAAAACATACAAAATCACAAAGCAGCTTTAGATCTTCATTACAACAAAGTTACCTACTTCTGCTGTAAAAGGTAGAAGAAACAAACTAACATGAAATGTGGTTGCTATGGGCCTCTGTGCATCCTCATGCACGTAACCCTCTCCACATCTGTTCTTACCCCTTGCTTGGTTCATATCTGTAGTCTAATTTGAAAGCTTTTTGAGGCAGGGATCTTTCCCAAGCACCTGTTCCACAAAGCACCTAGCATGCCTTATAGAATAATAAGAGCTGGAAAGGACTTCACAGGTCATAGGCACAGTGCTACTTGTAGTACATATATAAATATATTCTCTGTTACATTATAAATGGATCTTCACATGATTATTTGTCAAGTCCCAAAGTTTCCTTCCAAGGAAGATGATATACCTGTGTGGGGAATGGAATCTTGAAGGAACATAGGACTGGAAGGGGTCCCCTAGGCTTTTGAGTCCAGTCTCTTGTATTTGCAGACAACCATTAACCAAAGAGACCTAAAAATCTTCCATGCCAAAACCTCACATGCCACATCTGCAAGGCACAAAACCAGAAATGCTAAGAACACATGGCACCAGTAAAACCAGGGGAAATGAAGGCTCTGCCAGTGCTTTGACTGCATTGACAAAAGGAACTGGAATATTGCCTATTGGAAGGATCCTGGGAAACTGATTATTGCCCATACTACCAAGGAAGGTGAAAACCTCCACAGCCCTTGACAATCTGACCTATGGAAAAATGGCTTCCTAACCCCAAAGCTGGCAACTGGTTTGATCCTGAGCAGAAGGGCAAAACTCTAACTAGGAACCTCTGAGGCTGCTAGCTAGGATGAGATCTAACTGGGGCAGTGTGAACAGGACAACTGCCCCAGGCACTGATTGGGGGTGGGGGGAAGGGGGAATCAAAAATTGTGATCACAGCAGCAAGTGAAAGTCGCTGCTGA